TAGTGCCCGACAGAGTGTGTGGGTACGTATACGTGGTCAAAAGTATACCGTCAGAGTCAAGAAAATTCCAATGATTTACTCGCACATTAAAATCCACATCAATGACGATGAGTGTAGATCACTAGAAAGGGTATCCTATCCAATATTCTCCAATCATCCACCATTTGTTTGAATAACCAATAATAATAATAAAAAAAACGAGCTCTGTTTCAGCAGAAACCATAAGAAGAAAGAACCATAAAATAATATTGGTCACAAACTATTTTCGTAATGTTACAGTATTATTTTTTTTCATTTTCCCCCTTAACCCTGTACCAAATATCTTCCTTGTTGTTTGTGTTGTTTTTCTGTATTATTAATGTTTGGAATTCGCATGCAGAAGTACACTGAGAATTCTTTGCAATATGGGGTGTGTCCGCTCACTTTATTTCACTTCCCTCTTCGCCCCAACACCTTGGCGCAGACTCCTATTAAGTATTTTCCGCAACGCTGGTAAATCAACGTGGACAGTTCACAATTTCATCGACCCTAGGAAATATATATATACAGTTGGGAGTAAATACCCACACATAATTCTGGAGAATGCTGCAGCGTCGTAGAAAGAGAATGGCAATTCCACCATGCCCCATGCAAACACCAGAATTGCAATACCTTTTCTGCGACACCTTGTAGGTGAGAGGAAAAAGAATAGAGAAACGAAAAAAAAAGAATAAAGGCAACAACGCACAAAACGTTCTTAGAGCAAGAAACAATGGCAACATTTGTAAGAAAGAAAAAAAAAAGATGGAGAAACAAATATTTTTGGCTTTGTCTGGGCAAACCCTGTATTCCCCACCCCGTTTTCACAAATACATCTAAAATAATTTTTCCCTATTGTTTTTACCAAATAAATAACAGAAACTAACGAAACGCAAGTGCTGAGAAGTCCTTTTAACCCACCTTTTGTTCGAGACAGTGTGGGTTGGGTTGGGTTGGGTGGGTCTTCAAAAAACCTACGTTTGCAGACTGTAAAAAGAAAAAAAAATAAATTCACAAGACATTTATTATCAGTATTAAAACTGTTTACAGAATAAATACAAGACTTTTTTACTCTTTTCACAAACTGTCAGGAAAAAAAAAATTATGCATTTTATCAATTAAATTCATTTTCTGCCTTTTTTTTATTTCCACCATGGTATTCCCATTAAAAAAAAAAATATATGTTCAGCACCTTCCCCAAAGGAAAATGAAAAAAAAAAAAAAAAAAAAAAAACGTTTTTCACTACGGTACCCACCTCA